TGAGCTGCCAGGACCTGATTTGGGACATTGGAACCAAATCTGGGACATTGAGATTGGGTTTGAGCTGCCAGGACCTGGCTGTGGTCATTGGATCCGAATCTGGGACATTGAGATTGGGTTTGAGCTGCCAGGACCTGGAGGGTGGGAGTTGGGTTTGGGTTTGAGCTGCCAGGACCCGATTTGGGACATTGGAACCAAATCTGGGACATTGAGATTGGGTTTGAGCTGCCAGGACCTGGAGAGGGCGATTGAGCTGCCAGGACCCGATTTGGGTCATTGGGTTTGGGTTTGAGCTGCCAGGACCCGATTTTGGGTCATTGGGATTGGGTTCAGTCATTGGGATTGAGGTTTGAGCTGCCAGGACCTGGAAACCGGGAATTGGGGTTTGGAGCTGCCAGGACCTGATTTGGGTCATTGGGATTGAGTTCAGTCATTAGGATTGAGGTTTGAGCTGCCAGGACCTGGACAGTGGACTGAGCTGCCAGGACCCGATTTGGGTCATTGATACTGGGTTTGAGCTGCCAGGACCTGGAGAGGGCGATTGAGCTGCCAGGACCTGGAGACTGGGAGTTGGGGTTTGGAGCTGCCAGGACCCGATTTGGGTCACTGGGATTGGGTTCAGTCACTGGGATTGAGGTTTGAGCTGCCAGGACCCGATTTGGGCCACTGGGATTGAGTTCAGTCACTGGGATTGGGATTTGAGCTGCCAGGACCTGGACACCGGGAATTGAGCTGCCAGGACCTGGAGAGGGGGTTTAGAGCTGCCAGGACCTGTGTTTGAAGTTAGGATTGGGATTTGAGCTGCCAGGACCTGTCTGTGGTCATGGGGTTGGATTTGGGTCTTTGGGGTTGGGTTTGGAGCTGCCAGGACCTTGAAGGGTCTCCATTGACCTTCCAGGACCTTCCATGACCCAACCTTGGCCTTTCATTGACCTTCCATGACCCAGTGTTGACCTTGAAGGGTCTCCATTGACCTTCCACGACCTTTGACGTCTTCCATTGACCTTCCATGACCCAACCTTGACCTTCCATGACCTTGGACACCTTCCATTGACTTTCCATTGACCATGAAGAGTCTCCATTGACCTTCCATGACCTTCCATGACCNTACTGGTCCGTACTGGTCTCCCCAGGGCCATGCGCCGCCCCAGGTGCGGCGTCCCCGATAAATTCGGGGCTCAGGTGAAGGCTCAGGTGCGGCGGCGCCGATTCGCTCTGCAGGGGCTGCGCTGGGAGCAGCCCGAGATCACCTACAGGTAAGGCTGGGACACACCTGGGGACAGCTGGGGACACCTGGGGACACCTGGGGACACACCTGGATACACCTGGGACACACCTGGGATACACCTGGGGACACCTGGGGACAGCTGGGGACACCTGGGGACAGCTGGGGACACCTGGGGACACACCTGGATACACCTGGGACACACCTGGGATACACCTGGGGACACCTGGGGACACCTGGGGACACCTGCGACACACCTGGGGTCACATGGGTAGACCTAGGACACACCTGGGACACACCTGGGGTCACCTGGGGATACCTGGGACACACCTGGGACACACCTGGGCACACCTGGGGACACCTGGGACACCTGGGACACACCTGGGGACACCTGGGGTCACCTGGGGTCACCTGGGGGAAACTGGGACACACATAAATTTACCTGGACACACCTGGGAGTTACTGCGACACATCTGGGGACACCTGGGCACACCTGGACACACCTGGGGACACACCTGGGCACATCTTGGGACACCTGGGGACACTTGAGGACACACCTGGGCACACCTGGGGTCACCTGGGACACACCTGGGGACACCTGGGACACACCTGGGCACACCTGGGACACCTGGGGGAAACCGGGATACAGCTGGGGGTCACCTGGGCACAACTGGGACACACCTGGGGTCACCTGGACACACCTGGGGTCACCTGGGGACACCTGGGGATACCTGGGAGACACCTGAGGACACACCTGGGGTCACCTGGGACACCTGGGCACACCTGAGGGCACACCTGGGCTGGATTTTGGGCCCATCCAAGTCGATTTTGGGTCATTTTGGGTTGGAATTCCGCCATTTTTGCGCCGATTTTCGCCGTTTTTTCGCCGTTTCTCCCTCACCTGTCCCCACCTGTCCCCACCTGTCCCCCCCCCTCAGCATCCAGAACTACACCCCCAAGGTGGGCCAGGCCGCCACGTGGGCCGCCATCCGCCGCGCCTTCCAGGTGTGGGCGTCGGCCGCGCCCGCCCTGCGCTTCCGCGAGGTCCCGTACGGCGACATCCGCTCGGGCGCCGCGCCCGGCGCCGACATCGTGCTGCTCTTCGCCGAGGGCTTCCACGGCGACGCCACGCCCTTCGACGGCCCCGGCGGCTTCCTGGCCCACGCCTACTTCCCCGGGCCCCACATCGGCGGCGACACGCACTTCGACGGCGCCGAGCCCTGGACGCACCGCGGAGACGACCTGAGCGGTGAGCTGACAGGACCTGGAGGG